TTCCATAGAAAAAAATTCGTAGGACCTCAGGTCCCAATTTTTTTCCATAGAAAAAAATTCGTAGGACCTCAGGTCCCAATTTTTTTCCATAGAAAAAAATTCGCAGGACCTCAGGTCCCAATTTTTTTCCATAGAAAAAAATTCGCAGGACCTCAGGTCCCAATTTTTTTCCATAGAAAAAAATTCGCAGGACCTCAGGTCCCAATTTTTTTCCATAGAAAAAAATTCGCAGGACCTCAGGTCCCAATTTTTTTCCATAGAAAAAAATTCGCAGGACCTCAGGTCCCAATTTTTTTCCATAGAAAAAAATTCGCAGGAACTCAGGTCCCAATTTTTTTCCATAGAAAAAAATTCGCAGGACCTCAGGTCCCAATTTTTTTCCATAGAAAAAAATTCGCAGGACCTCAGGTCCCAATTTTTTTCCATAGAAAAAAATTCGCAGGACCTCAGGTCCCAATTTTTTTCCATAGAAAAAAATTCGCAGGACCTCAGGTCCCAATTTTTTTCCATAGAAAAAAATTCGCAGGACCTCAGGTCCCAATTTTTTTCCATAGAAAAAAATTCGCAGGACCTCAGGTCCCAATTTTTTCTATAGAAAAAAATTCGCAGGACCTCAGGTCCCAATTTTTTTCTATAGAAAAAAATTCGCAGGACCTCAGGTCCCAATTTTTTTCTATAGAAAAAAATTCGCAGGACCTCAGGTCCCAATTTTTTTCTATAGAAAAAAATTCACAGGACCACAGGTCCCAATTTTTTTCTATAGAAAAAAATTCGCTGGACCTCAGGTCCCATTTTTTTCTATAGAAAAAAATTCGCTGGACCTCAGGTCCCATTTTTTTCTATAGAAAAAAATTCACAGGACCACAGGTCCCATTTTTTTCTATAGAAAAAAATTCACAGGACCACAGGTCCCATTTTTTTCTATAGAAAAAAATTCACAGGACCACAGGTCCCATTTTTTTCTATAGAAAAAAATTCACAGGACCACAGGTCCCATTTTTTTCTATAGAAAAAAATTCACAGGACCACAGGTCCCATTTTTTCTATAGAAAAAATTCACAGGACCACAGGTCCCATTTTTTTCTATAGAAAAAAATTCACAGGACCACAGGTCCCATTTTTTTCTATAGAAAAAAATTCACAGGACCACAGGTCCCATTTTTTTCTATAGAAAAAAATTCACAGGACCACAGGTCCCATTTTTTTCTATAGAAAAAAATTCACAGGACCACAGGTCCCATTTTTTTCTATAGAAAAAAATTCACAGGACCACAGGTCCCATTTTTTTCTATAGAAAAAAATTCACAGGACCACAGGTCCCATTTTTTTCTATAGAAAAAAATTCACAGGACCACAGGTCCCAATTTTTTTCTATAGAAAAAAATTCACAGGACCACAGGTCCCAATTTTTTTCTATAGAAAAAAATTCACAGGACCACAGGTCCCAATTTTTTTCTATAGAAAAAAATTCACAGGACCACAGGTCCCAATTTTTTTCTATAGAAAAAAATTCACAGGACCACAGGTCCCAATTTTTTTCTATAGAAAAAAATTCACAGGACCACAGGTCCCAATTTTTTTCTATAGAAAAAAATTCACAGGACCACAGGTCCCAATTTTTTCTATAGAAAAAAATTCACAGGACCACAGGTCCCAACTTTTTTCTATAGAAAAAAATTCACAGGACCACAGGTCCCAACTTTTTTCTATAGAAAAAAATTCACAGGACCACAGGTCCCAATTTTTTTCTATAGAAAAAAATTCACAGGACCACAGGTCCCAATTTTTTTCTATAGAAAAAAATTCACAGGACCACAGGTCCCAATTTTTTTCTATAGAAAAAAATTCACAGGACCACAGGTCCCAATTTTTTTCTATAGAAAAAAATTCACAGGACCACAGGTCCCAATTTTTTCTATAGAAAAAAATTCACAGGACCACAGGTCCCAATTTTTTCTATAGAAAAAAATTCACAGGACCACAGGTCCCAATTTTTTTCTATAGAAAAAAATTCACAGGACCACAGGTCCCAATTTTTTTCTATAGAAAAAATTCACAGGACCACAGGTCCCAATTTTTTCTATAGAAAAAATTCACAGGACCACAGGTCCCAATTTTTTTCTATAGAAAAAAATTCACAGGACCACAGGTCCCAATTTTTTTCTATAGAAAAAAAATTCACAGGACCACAGGTCCCAATTTTTTTCTATAGAAAAAAATTCACAGGACCACAGGTCCCAATTTTTTTCTATAGAAAAAAAATTCACAGGACCACAGGTCCCAATTTTTTTCTATAGAAAAAAATTCACAGGACCACAGGTCCCAATTTTTTTCTATAGAAAAAAATTCACAGGACCACAGGTCCCAATTTTTTTCTATAGAAAAAAATTCACAGGACCACAGGTCCCAATTTTTTTCTATAGAAAAAATTCACAGGACCACAGTTCCCAATTTTTTTCTATAGAAAAAAATCACAGGACCACAGGTCCCAATTTTTTTCTATAGAAAAAAATTCACAGGACCACAGGTCCCAATTTTTTTCTATAGAAAAAAATTCACAGGACCACAGGTCCCAATTTTTTTCTATAGAAAAAAATTCACAGGACCACAGGTCCCAATTTTTTCTATAGAAAAAAATTCACAGGACCACAGGTCCCAATTTTTTTCTATAGAAAAAAATTCACAGGACCACAGGTCCCAATTTTTTTCTATAGAAAAAAATTCACAGGACCACAGGACCCAATTTTTTTCTATAGAAAAAAATTCACAGGACCACAGGACCCAATTTTTTTCTATAGAAAAAAATTCACAGGACCACAGGACCCAATTTTTTTCTATAGAAAAAAATTCACAGGACCACAGGTCCCAATTTTTTTCTATAGAAAAAAATTCACAGGACCACAGGTCCCAATTTTTTTCTATAGAAAAAAATTCACAGGACCACAGGTCCCAATTTTTTTCTATAGAAAAAAATTCACAGGACCACAGGTCCCAATTTTTTTCTATAGAAAAAAATTCACAGGACCACAGGTCCCAATTTTTTTCTATAGAAAAAAATTCACAGGACCACAGGTCCCAATTTTTTTCTATAGAAAAAAATTCACAGGACCACAGGTCCCAATTTTTTCTATAGAAAAAAATTCACAGGACCACAGGTCCCAATTTTTTTCTATAGAAAAAAATTCACAGGACCACAGGTCCCAATTTTTTTCTATAGAAAAAATTCACAGGACCACAGGTCCCAATTTTTTTCTATAGAAAAAAATTCACAGGACCACAGGTCCCAATTTTTTTCTATAGAAAAAATTCACAGGACCACAGGTCCCAATTTTTTTCTATAGAAAAAATTCACAGGACCACAGGTCCCAATTTTTTTTCTATAGAAAAAAATTCACAGGACCACAGGTCCCAATTTTTTTCTATAGAAAAAAATTCACAGGACCACAGGTCCCAATTTTTTTCTATAGAAAAAAATTCACAGGACCACAGGTCCCAATTTTTTTCTATAGAAAAAAATTCACAGGACCACAGGTCCCAATTTTTTTCTATAGAAAAAAATTCACAGGACCACAGGTCCCAATTTTTTTCTATAGAAAAAATTCACAGGACCACAGGTCCCAATTTTTTTCTATAGAAAAAAATTCACAGGACCACAGGTCCCAATTTTTTTCTATAGAAAAAAATTCACAGGACCACAGGTCCCAATTTTTTTCTATAGAAAAAAATTCGCCGGACCTCAGGTCCCAATTTTTTTCTATAGAAAAAAATTCGCCGGACCTCAGGTCCCATTTTTTTCTATAGAAAAAAATTCGACGGACCTCAGGTCCCATTTTTTTCTATAGAAAAAAATTCGACGGACCTCAGGTCCCATTTTTTTCTATAGAAAAAAATTCGCCGGACCTCATGTCCCCATTTTTTTCTATAAAAAAATCGCAGGACCCCAGGTCCAACTTTTTTCTATAGAAAAAAAATTCGCCAGACCTCAGGTCCCAATTTTTTTCTATAGAAAAAAATTCGCAGGACCTCACAGGTCCCAATTTTTTCCAATAGAAAAAAATTCGCAGGACCTCACAGGTCCCAATTTTTTCCAATAGAAAAAAATTCGCAGGACCTCACAGGTCCCAATTTTTTCCAATAGAAAAAAATTCACAGGACCACAGGTCCCAATTTTTTCCAATAGAAAAAAAATTCACAGGACCACAGGTCCCAATTTTTTCCAATAGAAAAAAATTCGCAGGACCTCGGGTCATATTTTTTTCTATAGAAAAAAATTCGCAGGACCTCGGGTCATATTTTTTTCTATAGAAAAAAATTCGCAGGACCTCGGGTCATATTTTTTTCTATAGAAAAAAATTCGCATGACCCCAGGTCCCAATTTTTTTCTATAGAAAAAAATTCGCAGGACCCCAGGTCCCAATTTTTTTCTATTGAAAAAAAAAAGTCGAAAGACCTAAGGTCCAATTTTTTCTATTGAAAAAGAAGTTGACCTCAGGGCTGATGTTTTTATAGAAGAAAAAATTCGCAGGTTATGCTTTTCTATTGAAAAAAAAGATATATATTTCGGAGGTCTCAGGGCTAAACTATATTAATTTTTTCCATAGAAAAAATATCTCCACAGAAAAATCTCCATTGGAATTTCCCCCCACTGTCAATGTGTTAATGACACAAATTCCTTACGAAATAGATAAAAAAATATATACATTCACGCTTATCTTTGTAAATTATAATTGATAGACAGACAATGGGACAGACGACCGACCCAATGATATAAATATTTTCTAAATCCAACAATAACAAAAGGTATCCAAATCAAAAGATAATGGCCCAACGAGTAAATCACCACGCAGTCATATCAAACAAAAGTACGTATCGTTGGTTGGTCATCGGTTAATTATAATAGAGTCATATGCGGGGGTTTTAGGGAAAAACATAGAATAATATACAAATAAGTTTCGCTCGTTCAGAGAGTGAGAGAAAAATCCATTTATTGATTTCAGAAATTGCAATTGCATTGTCGTTGCTGTTGCCGTTCGCAAATCACAATCATCATCATAAATGTGTTAACTTCTACTGTATGCAACCGCGTTGCCTTCTCCTCCGATTAGCGCTGCTGGCTAAAACGCCACACACATGTGATTCATATGAAAACAAATAACAACAAATACTCGAACCTCTTATCACCGGTAATGAGAACAGCAACAAAACACCTATTCACAAAATTGAAGTTAAATATTTCTTTTTTTTTTTGAAGTGTGGTGGGTGAGGAGTTGTGGGAGGTGGCAGGAAATCCATTTTCAAGTCAATGCGGGTATGGGTGGAAAAAAAAGGTATTCAGTCTTATTAGCTCATCGTTGTTGTCGCAGTTTCTTTTTTTTTGAAGACAAAAAAGTGTAAATAATTCAATTACTATTAGTAGTAGCTGCGCCGAGGCTCTGAGAGGAACACAAAGCTGATATAGTACAAAAGAACGCACAAGAAAAAATGGGAGGTTGCTGCAGTAAGTGTTTCACTGAGTTTTCGAAATTTGAATAATCGATTGCCCTCAATTTCCAGGTACTCGCAAATCAATTGATTTAGTTGATGTGCCACCGAACACCAAGAAGCGTGTCGTTGCTGATCGTGCCCCCTCCATGAATTCACAATTTGGCAAAAAGGATAACAACAATCTGAATGGGGTGACCAATACAGCCTTGGAAGAGGATTAGTTTATTTTTAATAATTTGTAGCCTAGCGTTAATTACGATTTTTTTTTGTTAAAGAATAACAAAAAAAAAAAAAAAAAAAAACAAAGCAATTGTTTTTGAAATTTTTGTTAAGTTTCCGTTATGTATCTTTTAATTGCTATAGACTCGGTATTTTTTTGATAAGACATTATCTGAATTAAAAATTAGGTTTTAAAAAAGAGGAAAAAAAAAGAAATAAAACTTTTTAAGAAGAAAAAAATGGTTATTTTTATGGTGGCAATTGGATTGAAGTCGTGGAAATATATATTCTAGGAAATTTGGTGCGCAAAACTGGCCTAATCTATAAAATATTTGAAAAAAATGGTGTCATAATCCAGGTGCCATTGGCAAACGCCATTTTTGCAAAGAGGATATTTTAATCGCTGCATGCTTCGAGTGTCAAATTACAATAAATCACTTGGAATATATGTCAAATGTTGTGTTTCAGTTACATGTGGACTCTACCTAGAAATCATATTGCAGCTGTGCCAAAAAGCAGTTCTATTTAGATACCCTTTTGATATTTAAAGCCGACGGAGAATTTCTATGCTATAGATGGCCCCATCTATTCTATAAAAGGAAATGTTAAGATTGAGGTCTTCTATTTATAGAAGCTTGGTAGATGTCTTCTATTGTATACGAGTGTTATAAGGAGGTCTTCTTTTTTTATAGAGTCCCTATGGTGGCCTTCCTACTTATAGAATTCCAATACGAAGGTCTTCTAATTTATGGAAACCTCTGAGGATGTATTTTTTTCATAGAAGGCCGTTACGCTGGTCTTATATTCTATAAGAGGCTCCTACAGTGAGTTTCTATATCATACGGAGGTCTTTATTTCTATACAAGTCCTTCAATTAAATCTTCTATTCCATGGGAGGCCCCTACAGTAACCTTCTATTCCATGAATGGACTTCTTATCTATAGAAGTCCAATACGGAAATCTTCTAATTTATGGAAACCCCTGAGGAGGTCTTTTTTCCATAAAAGGCCGCTACGCTGGTCTTATATTCTATAAGAGACCCCTACAGTGAGTTTCTATATCATAGCAAACACCCTACGGAAGGTCTTTAATTTTATAGAAGTTATTCTATTAGGTATTCTATTCTATGGGAGGCCCCTATAGTAGTCTTCTATTCCATGAATGGACCCTTGTTCTTCTATTCTCTAAAATATCCCTATGGAGGTGTTTTATGTTTTGACATCCGTTACGAAGGCGTTTACTTTTACAGAAGATCCCTACGGAGGTCTTCTATTGCATAGAAATCCCCTAAGGAGATCTTCCATTCCATTGACGACTTCTACGGAGATCTTCCATTCCCTAGAGAGTCCCCACGGAGGTCTTTTATTCCATAGAAGCCCATACGGAGCTCTTCTATGCAATAAAAGATTACTTTGGAGGTTTTCGATTCTATAGAAATCCCCTGTGAAGGTCTTCTATGAAATATGTTAAACTTATGGAGATTTTTTATTTTATAGAAGGCCCCTATGGAGGTTTTCGACTCTATAGAAGGCCCCTATGGAAGTCTTCTATGATATATACTAACCCTACGGAGGTTTTTTATTTAATAGAAGGCTTCTACGGAGCTCTTCTATTCCATAGAAAGCCCTTATGGTGCTCTTTTATTATATAGATGACTCTTATGGTGGTCTTCTTTTACATAGGAAGTATTCCCTACGAAGGTTTCCTATTCGGAAAAAGACTCTTGTGGAGTCGTTCTATTAAATAGAAAGCCTGTACCTACGGAGGTCTTCCATTCCATTGAAGACTTCTATGAAGATCTTCCTTTCCCTAGAAGACCCCTACGGAGGTCTTCTTCTCCATAGAAGCCCATACGGAGCTCTTCTATAAAATAAAAGATTACTACGGTGGATTTCGATTTTATAGAAGATCCCTATGGAGATCTTCTATGATATAAATTAACCTCATGGAGGTTTTTTATTTTATAAAAGACCCCTATGGAGGTCTTCTATGGTATATAAACCCTACGGAGGTTTTTTATTTAATAGAAGGCTTCTACGAAGCTCTTCTATATTAAAGAAAGCCCCTATGGAGCTCTACTGTCATATTTAAGCCTCTTACGGTGGTCTTCTTTTCCATAGAAGTTTCTTACGGTGGTCTTCTATTCTGTAGAAGGTCCCTACGAAGGTTTCCTATTCAGCTCCTGACTCCTGTGGAGTCGTTCTATTTAGCAGAAAGCCCCTACGAAAGTCTTATATTTTAAAGAAGGCCCCTACGAAGCTTTGCTATTTCATAGAAAAGCCCTAAGAAGCACTTAAATTCCATAGAAAGCCTCTACGGAGCTCTTCTATATCATAGAAAGCCCCCACGAAGTTCTTCTATTATATATAAGACCCCTACGATGGTATTCTTTTCTATACAACTCTCCTACGGTGGTCTTATATTCTGTAGAAGGTTCTTCCACTGCTTCCGTTCTTCAAAAGGCTCCTATGGAGTCGTTCTATTCAATAGAACGCCCCTACGAAAACCTTATATTCTAAAGAGTGTCCCTACGAAATTCTATAAAAGCCCCTACGGAGTTCTTATATTCTATAGGAAGCTCTTAAGGTGGTCTTCTTTTCCATAGAATTCTTCTACGGTGATCTTCTATTCTATATAAGGCCCTTTCTTGGTCTTCAATTCCATTAAAGCCTCCTCTGAAGTCGTTTTACTGCATAGAAGGCCCCCACGGAAGCTTTATTTTCCAAAGAAGTTCCCTACGGAGGTCTTGTATTCCATGCATGACCCTTCGCTAATCTTGTTTTCCGTAAAGCACCCCTGGGACTTCGTGTATTCTATGAAAGTTCTACAAAGATGCCTTCTATATTGTTTTATACACCTACGTTTAACTTCATTTGTTAACTTATTTATATCTTTTACTTTATGGAGGGCCCTTCCTTGGAATGCACCTTCCAATTCCATTTTTGCTTAAAATACACCTGTGACGTTTATCTTTTCAGTACAAGACTGTTATCGTAGTTTTCTTGTCCTCTTAAAGATTTATTATTTCTATGGTAGACTTCTATGGAAGTGTCTTACCCCACAGAAGACCCTAAGGTAGAATTTGTATCCCGTGGCAGTTATGCTTTATGATTTCCTATTCTATAGAGACAATTTGGGACAATTGGCAGCACGTTTTGCAACACCTTTGGCATTTTGTTTTCCCTTTTATATTAAATGCATTAAGATATAATCAAAGGCCTGCAGATAGCGGGTGCTTAACATTGGCTCTCATTCCCAAAAACAACTTGGTCACTTGGCCTCCCGTTATCTTACAATTTACATAAAAAAATCCTATTAGAAATAGCACCAAACTTGTTGCTTATTCTACTATACTTACCTTTCACACCCTCCAAAAATGCCACCACCTACCGCCCATTTCCAAACGATAACCACAGTGACAACAAAACCACCAACTTACCTGAAACTTAATTTGATCCAGGCCCATTGTCATGGCAGCCCGCCAGTTGAGAGCCAACAAACACGACTCTTTGGAGTCCCAACAAAATAGCACATCATCTTTACATTCCAATAGATTTTCCGTATGCAAACGCTTTTCCACCGCCAAAGATTCGCGAATCTTGGCAAACATTGTTGTTTTGTTCATTTGTAAACAGTCGGTGGAGGCCATGGCGCGACACTTTTTCTTTTATTTTACGAACTACGTATATGAGAGGGAACAGGGATTTGCAATTTTTAACGAATTTGTTATTAGTTTTAATTTTTTAGTTAATAAACAAAAATTTTGCCCGGCAACGTACAAAACAGAAACGTGCTCACGCCGAAATTAAAAACGTTCCAATCTAGTCAAATCAAAAAGACAAGACGATAAAACATGAACCCAAAACAAAATGAACGAGAACAGTGTTTATTTCCTCTGTGTTTACGAATGAGTGTAATGCATAATGCCGAAAAAATCACACAAAACAAAAAATATTTGCTCATAAACAGTTGTTTGATGGGGGAGCATAGGCAGAAAGAGAGAGAGAAAAAGAGTGACTAGCAGCGGATTTGTTGCCATTTTACAGTGAGTGTCAACAAGTCAAAGAAGCAGCAGCAAACAAATGAAAACCGTACATTTGGCGCGCAATGACAACCGGCTTCTCTTAAAGACAAGAAAAAATGATAAATAATTAAAATATAAAAGTAATAAAATATAAATTCGAATTATGTGGAATTAATTATTAGATTTTTTGTTTTTCTATATCATCAAATAGCCCGTTTCATTTATAAAATTTTATTGCTCGATAAGGGAGTTACATGGAGGAACTGTTTTTCTTTGAGGTGGTGTACTATTAACAGTGTGAAGAAGAGAGAGAAAGTTTGATGTATTTGCAGAGTGGTGAGTAACTACAGACACCAACAAACAAGTTGATTGTCACATAGACTGTTAACTTTCAAACCACATTTTGGCGAAAATAATTAACCAAAAATTATGAATTAAATTGAAAATAATAAAAATTGCTTTGTTACAGAACCTGCAAAATTCTATTGGTTTTTGCAATTTTTTCGATAAACTAAAGGGGAAATCGGTTATCGTAGTAAACGCTTTTACATTCTTGTAGTTCTGGAATAGACCAAATGTTGCTAAATAATAAGTAAGTATAAGTATTAGTAGTAAATAAAGTAAAAACGTTATTATTGGATTTTTATAGCCAAATCTCTTAATTAATTGCAATTTCAAAATTTTTATAAACTGAAACAAAACTAAACTGTGGCAAATATTACCAATAATAATCAAATGATACATAAATTCCTAATTTCATAAATAATAAAAAAATGAAATCAACTGGAAAATCAACATTTCCCAAATCCACTCAACTGAATATAAAACCTAATAATTGGTATTTTTATTCAACCAATGCGATTATTAAGGCTCGCTCAGAAAAACGTTTAGTCCTGGCTGACTTTGAGTCTATGGGTGTGTGTGTGAAAATTCCATTTTGGAATAAACCGTTTTTTTATTTAAAAATCCTTACAACAACAGTTTAAAATAATAATAAATGTGTTGTTGTTTTTTTCTCTTTGATTTTACGAATGATTATTGTTGACTTGAATTGCTATTTGTTTTATTTTTTTTTTCAGACCAATTTTTAAATGAACCCTTTTTTTGTGGTCATTTTCACATACACCCAGATGCTGATGAAGTTGTGAATGGAAAAAAAATATCATGAGTGTATATTCAGACATACAAATATATATGTGATATTTATTCTTTTATACAGTGAGAGAAATTTTTACTTTATTTTTTAAAACCACATTTTGAGGATTGAAAAAAAATTCAGTAAAACCACGCTATATGTATTTTTGAAAAAAATATATCTATTTAAAAACAATTAATTTTTTGAGTTTTTCTTCGGAAAAAAATATATAAATATATAAATCCACGTTCTGTGACTTTGCAAGGAAATATTTTTATAAAAATCCACGTTTTGTGGATTTCCAAAGAAATATTTTTTAAAAGGTCCAAATTTTGTGGATTTCGAACAAAAAATATTTTTTAAAAATTCAAATTTTCTAGATTTTCGAAGAAAATATTTTTTAAAAACTCCACGTTTGTGGATTTTCGAAAATATATTTATGAAAAAACAAAATATTGTGGATTTTTAGAAAAACATTTATAAAAAATCCACTATTGTGCAATATTTTTTAAAAAAATGCAAGTTTTGTGGATTTTCGAAAAAAATATTTTTAAAAATCCAGGCGATTTTCGAAAATTTTGTTTTAGAAAATCAATGTTTTGAGGTGTTTCGAAAAATCCACGTTTGGCAGTTTTTCTATTTTTGAAAAATACACGTTTTGTAAATTTTCGTTATTTTTTAAAAAAAAAACTTTTTCTGGATTTTTTTCAAAAAAAGTCCAAGGTTTATGGATTTTCGAAAACAAATAACAAATCCAAATTTTGTGGATTTCGAAAAATAAAATATATTTTTTAAAAAAAAACAAAGTCTGGTGGATTTTCGATAAAATATATTTTAAAAATCCAAATTTTGTGGATTTCCACAAAAATGTTTTTTTTTTAAATCCACGTTCTGTGGATTTCCGAAAAAATATATTTTTATATATATGTTTTAAAAAAATACTTATTGTGAATTTTCTTAAAACAAAATTCACGTATTTGCAAAAAAATCCATTTTTTTTTGGAATAATTGGAAAATTATTTTTGAAAAAATACACGTTTCGCCGATTTCCAAAAAATATATTTTTTAAAAATATTTTTATTTAATATTTGTGGATTTCCAAAAAAATATTTTAAAAAAAACTGAATTTTCACATTTTTTTAAAACCCACGTTTTGTTGATTTTGGAAAAAATATATTTTTTTAAAAAACGCGTTTTGTGGATTTCAAAAAAAAAAAAAATATTTTGTAAAAAATTTACGTTTGTCGATTTCCACAAAAATATTTTGTAAAAAATTTACGTTTGTCGATTTCCAACAAATTATTTTTTAAAAAATCCACGTTTTGTGGATTTAAAAAATAAACATTTTTTTAAAAAATCTAAGTTTTGTGGATTTAAAAAATAAATATTTTTTTAAAAAATCTAAATTTTCTGGATTTAAAAAATAAATATTTTTCAAAAATCCACGTTTTGTGGATGTCCACAAAAATATTTTTTAAAAAATCCGTTTTGTGGATTTTCGAACAAAGTTTTTATAAAAAATTGAAGTCTTGTGTATTAAAAAAAAAAAACATTTTTTTAAATATCCACGTTGTGTAAAACTTTGAAAAAATATTTCTTTAAAAAATAAAATTTTGTGGAAAAGAAAAATATTTAAATTTTTTTAAAAATACATTTAAAAAATTCAATTTTGATGGATTTCTGAAAAAATATTTTTTTAAAAACCAAGTTTTTGTGGAAAAAAAATTGTTAAAAATATTTTTTTCAAAATTCCGCAAAAAACGTCTGCATTTGATGGATTTTCGAAACAATTTTTTAAATCTAACTTCGGTATGTTTTCGAAACAATATTTTTTAAAAATCCACTTTGTGTGGATTTTCCAAAAAAAAAAAAAAAAAAAAAATATATATATATATATATATATATATATATATATATATATATATATATATATATATATATATATATATATATTTTTTTTTTTTTTTTTTAAATTCATGCTTTCTGGACTTTTAAAAAAATATTTTTTTTAATTCACTTTTTATTGGCTTTTGACAAAATATGTATTTTTTAAAAATCCACGTTTTGTGGAGTTTTGATAAAATAAAAAATTATTTTAAAAATTCAATTTTAATTTTAATTTTAGTCTTCATTTTATGCCTGTATTTTTCTCCATGTATCTGCGCACCATGTATGTTTGTATTCCATATGCACATATATTTATATTCATTTATATATATTAAACCCAATGACCACTTGACTTTTTTTGCTGATCCATTACAACAATATTAAGCGTTTTTGTTTTTTTTTTTTTGGGAAACTGCTGCCAGCCAGTCAGTCAGTGGCTGGTGGCCGCAATGTTGTTTTTGTTTTTTTTTGCTGCTGTTGACTTTTGCTGTAAATATGCGCTTTGGTTCGGTTCGGTTCTGGCCTCTGGCTTTTATTGTTTTTATGCCAATTTGTATATTTATTCAGGCTCAATTTCATAGTCATATATATGTTCGGACACTTTTTTTTGCCAGTTAATGGTGTTGTTGTTTTTTTTTATTATTTTTTGGTTGATGGAAATGAAAATACCCAGACCTGGTCGGCCCACTTAACCATCGTCGTTCTTCAATAAAAAAAAAATAAAATAAATAAATATTATAAAATGTTGTTGGAAATTACTGCATGACCAGGTACTACAAAATGTTCGACCGGTGAATGGGGTGGTGGTGGTGATGGTGGTCATTGGGCCAGGGGAATTCAATGCGCAAAAAAAGACCAAGAAATCCAACAACTCTCCGCGGATGGTGTTGCTGTTGCTGTTATTGTAAACGAATGATGATGATTTTAATGAAAAACCCGTAGAGATGATTGTCTAGTGGCCAGGTTTTATTCCTTTTGTCGGAGAGCAATTTTGGTTAATTTTCCTTTTGTTGTTGTTGCTGTTGCTGCTGTTGTAGATAACCACTTGGCTTCAATATGGTGGCCATCATCAGTTATTACTGAAGTTAAAAAGTTATGGGTCATGGAAATAAATATATGTGAATATGTGGTTGTGTGTGTGTGTGAGTGAGTGTGTGTGTGTGAAAATGTAAAAACCAAAATGAAATCCATTTCGTTTCGGTTTTTAATCATTCACATGGATGGCCCACATGAGTGCCATGCTGGCCATTATGCATAAATGGTAAATGGATATTGGCCAAGGAGTTTTGAGAACATGATTTTCAAGTAACCAAAAAAATGAGAAAAAATATTTAAAAAATTCAAAAATATTTCAAATTTCCAGGGTGAGATAAAAAAAACTGCAATAAAGTCCAAGGCCATAATTTTTAATTTTTTTTTTAAATTTTTTTGAATGAAAGAAAAAAGTGATTTTCAAATAACAAAAAAAATTAGAAAAAAAATTAAAACAAGTCAAAATATTCCAGATTTCCAGGGTGAGATGAAAAAAGTGCAACAAAGTCAAAAAACACAATTTTTTTACATTTTTTTTATTTTTTTTTTTGAATGAAAGCAAAAATGATTTTCAAGTAACCAAAAAATGAGAAAAATATTTGAAAAAAATTCAAAATATTCCAGATTTCCAGGGTGAGATAAAAAAAACTGCAACAAAGTCAAAGGCCATAACTTTTACATTTTTTTAATTTTTTTGAATGGAAGCTAAAATGATTTTCAAGTAACCAAAAAAATGGGAAAAAATATCTAAAAAAATTCAAAATATTCCAAATTTACAGGGTGAGAAAAAAAAAACTGCAACAAAGTCAAAGGCCATAATTTTTACATTTTTTAATTTTTTGAGTGAAAGAAAAAAATGATTTTCAAGTAACCAAAAAATGAGAAAAATATTTAAAAAAAAAATTCAAAATATTCCAGATTTCCATGGTGAGATAAAAAAACTGCAACAAAGTTAATTTTTTAATTTTTATTTTTAATTTGTTTTTGAATGAAAACAAAAATTGATTTTCAAGTAACCAAAAATTGAGAAAAATAAATAGAAAAAAAAAATCAAAATATTCCAGATTTACAGGGTGAGCTAAAAAAAAAGAACTGCAACAAAGTTAAATGCCATAATTTTTACATTTTTTTTTTAATTTTTTGAATGAAAATAAAAAAATGTTGGAAATTGAATCAAATTTTAGAATAAGTTTAGATTTGTTCGAATTGATCACCTTTGGTCAAATTATGGCCTTCAGGAAAATATTTTTTTAAAGAATCCAAGCTTTCTGGACTTTCAAAAAAAAATAATAATAATAATAATAATAATAAATAAATAAAATGTAAAAAAACATTTTTTAAAAAATCCACGTTTAGTGGATTTTCGAAAAAATAAATGTTTTTAAAAATATTTAATTTTGGCAAGTTTTTTTTTTTAATTTTTTGGATTTAAGAAAAAAAAAAACTGCAACAAAGTCAAACGCCATAATTTTTACATTTTTTTTTTCATTTTATTGAATGAAAGCAAAAAATGTCGGATATTGCATCAAATTTTAGAATAAATTTAGATTTGTTCGAATTGGCCACCTTTGGCACGAATTATGGCCTTCAGGAAAATATTTTTTTTTAAGAATCCAGGTTTTGTGGACTTTCAAAAAAAAAAAAAAAATGTAAAAAAACATTTTTTAAAAAATTCACGTTTAGTGGATTTTCGAAAAAATATTTTTCCACGTTTTGTGGATTTTCAAAAAAAAAAATTTAAAAAAATCAATTTTGGCGATTTTTTTTTTAATTTTTGGATTTAAGATTTTTGTTTTAAATTCAAGTTTTTGGATTTTCGAAACTTTTTTTGTTAGTTTATCGATTTTTTTTATATCCTCGTTTTGTGGATTTTCGGAAAAATATTTTTTTTAATCCACGTTTTGTGAATTTTCGGAAAAATATTTTTTTAAAAATTTTAAACTTCACATTCTCCCTCTCTCTCTATTACAAAGAGTAATATTTAATTTATTTTCAATATTTTTTTTTTCAAATTTCTCCAACCACCTCTAATAATATACGACACCATCCCTAACAACCTGATTAAGATTTCCATCAAAATAGAATTTACATTCCAATTAACTGGGATTGCATGATGTAAATATTACAAATTAATACCAGACACGAGTGCACTCAAAACTGCAACGAAATCCCGATACACGTTATATATAAAACATCCACAAATCACAAAACCAATTTTCAGTTTTACTTCTAAAACAATGGCAAACACAAATGGATTATTTAGTTGTTCCGGCTTCCTGCTCTTCCTCTACGTTCAATTCGTGCGCGCCCAAAAGGATAACCTAATCGTGGAATTGGAATCATTTGAAATCGACAGGAAATTCGACTCAACATTTGTCGACTGGAACTCGCTGAGAATGGCCAGAATTGGACGCAATCAATTTGTCATCAATGGCACCGCCATTAGCAATCGGGATTTGAATAATCGTCATTCGGTAGGGATTCTTTTTTGGAATTGAGTTTCAAAATTTGAGTTTTGAAAATTCGTTGTTTTCAGTTAAATTTACAAGTCTATACCTATGATGACAAAAATAAGTTACGTGGCCTGTTGGTATTCAATGTGGAACAGAAAATTTGCGAATTTATGGAGCAGGATGAAGGTGTGTACCCAAAACTGAGAGAAGTTTCGAATTTGCCGGAACCAGGAACGTGCCCGCTGGCCAAGGTAAGATGAATTTCCTTGTGATAACATTTTTATCCACATTTGAGGGTTAAATATTTTCTTCACATATGGATAAATAAAATATCCACCTTTGTGGATAAAATATTTATCCACGTTTGTGGATAAAATATTATCCACGTGTGGATAAACATTTTATCTTCAAATGTGGATAAATATTTTATCCTCAAATGTGGATAAATATTTTTATCGACAAACTAGGATAATTTAGTTATCCACAAAAGTGGATAACTATTTTATCAACATCTGCGGATAAATATGTTATCCTCAAATGTGGATAATTTGTTTATCCACAAACGTGGATAAATTAATTATCCACCAACGTGGATAATCTATTTATCCACAACAGTGGATAAATCTTTTATCCTCAAATATGGATAAAAAATTTATCCTAAAATGTGGATAAATATTTTATCCTCAAATGTGGATAAAAATTTTATCCTCACACGTGGATAACAATTTTATCCTCAAACGTGGATAAATAATTTATCCACCAAAGTGGATAACTATTTTATCCTCAAATGTGAATAAATAGTTTATCCTCAAATGTGAATAAATATTTTATCCTCAAATGTGGATAAATATTTTATCCTCAAATTTGGATAAATATTTTATGCCCAAATGTGGATAAATATTTTATTCACAAATGTGGATAAACATTTTATACACAAATGTGGATCACTATTTTATCCTCAAATGTGGATAAATGTTTTATCCACAGCAGTGGATAAATATATTTATCCATAAGCGTGGATAATTTATTAATCCACAAATGTGGATAAATATTTTATCCACAAACGTGGATAAATATTTTATCCACATCTACGGATAAATAATTTACTTTTATCCACCTACGTGGATAATATTTTTATCCACCAACGCGGATAATATTTCTATCCACCTACGTGGATAATATTTTTATCCACCTACGTGGATAAATATTTTATCCCCAAATGTTGATAAATATTTATCCTCAAATGTGTAAATATTTTATCCACATATGCGGATAAATATTTTATCTTCACATGTGGATAACATATTTATCCACCAACGTGGATAATATTTTTATCCACAAACGTGGATAAATATATTTATCCATAAACGTGGATTATTTATTAATCCACAAAGTGGATAAATATTTTATCCACAAATGTGGATAAATATTTTATCCACAAACGTGGTTAAATATTTTATCCACATCTACGGATAAATAATTTACTTTTATCCACCTACGTGGATAATATTTTTATCCACCAACGCGGATAATATTTCTATCCACCTACGTGGATAATATTTTTATCCACCTACGTGGATAAATATTTTATCCCCAAATGTTGATAAATATTTATCCTCAAATGTGTAAATATTTTATCCACATATGCGGATAAATATTTTATCTTCACATGTGGATAACATATTTATCCACCTACGTGGATAATATTTTTATCCACCAAGGCGGATAATATTTTTATCCACCTACGTGGATACTATTTTTATCCACCTACGTGGATAATATTTTTATCCACCTACGTGGATAAATATTTTATCCCCAAATGTGGATAAATATTTTATCCTCAAATGTGTAAATATTTCATCCAAATATGCGGATAAATATTTTATCTTCACATGTGGATAATATTTTCATCCACAAACGTGGATAAATATATTTATCCATAAACGTGGATAATTTATTTATCCACAAATGTGGATAAATATTTTATCCACAAATTTGGATAAGTATTTTATCCTCAACACATTTGTGGATAAATACTTATCCACGTTGATGGATAAAATATTTATTCACATTTTCGGATAATTAAAGTATCCATTTTTTTCGGATAATTAAATTTTCCATGTTTGGGTAATTTTCCATATCTTCTCCAGGGCGAATATCACATCAAGAACTTCGAAATAACCGATGACTATCTACCCTCCGATGCCATTGATGGTTATTACAATATTGTGGCAAAACTGAAGAATGGCTCTAACACCGTGGCTGCTTTGGAAATTCTCGTTAAAATCAGTCATCAATAATTAAATGTACGCCCCCGCCCAAACAGCTTCTTTAAAGATACTACAATAAATGAGTTATCATTCCCGTTTTCGAAATGCATTTTTAAGTGCCTGCAGAGATATTCAATTGCTCTCATATTTCACGGTCTAACACCTCTGATAATTGCATTTGTCGCCGCAGAATAATTATCGCATCAAATTATCATATTTTTATTGTTTTTTTTTTTTTTCACTGCTCATTAAATATTATTAAAAGCAATATTCAATTTTTTTCACAAGAGGGAGTGACAATGAAAAGGCTCTCTGCTTCCTTGCAGTGCATATGCAATTTCATATTTACAATCCATTGATTTTCGAATATCCTTAACCATTCACTCAATTCCTGCCATAATGCCATTACTCCAATTTATTTCTTTTTTTCGTCGAAGGACGTTCGAATCAACAACAGTAACACTTAATTAACAACACATTTATGTGACACATGGACCTCGATGATTTTGAAAAACGCCTAACTTAAATTAAAAAAAAATTATGTAACTTAAGATAATTTGCTTGAAATTATGTCTAGTCATATTGATGTTAAATTATAAGGGGAAACGATGGCAGGATTCAAGTGCGCCTCTGGCATTCCTTTATAATATGCCACAAAATATGCCATGCCAAGACTTTAGGCTTCTTATGTAACCTTTAGTTTTTTTTCCCAATTTATATTTAATTTATTTTATTTATTATATTTTTATTACTATTTTTTATTATTTATTTTTTATTATTTATTTGTTATTTCTATTTATTTAATTTTTATTTATTTTAAATTTTATTATTTTTTATTTTTATAATTATTTTTTATTATTTTTTTTTAATTTTTTGTATTTTTCTCACTTGGCTCACTTTCAAAAATAATGCATCCCTTCACTCCCCCTAAAAGTATGCTGCATTTTAATGCATACATATGTTGATGAGCACTCATCTTTTTTACTACCCAAACTCCAGCCAAACAAATGCCATAAACATTCAATGCCAGTGTCTCTTCGTTTGGCACACAAAAAAGGAGTAAATTATGAGTGTGAGTGGGAGAGGGAGAGGAGGGGGAGCGATGCTTCCAATATTAAGTATGAGCATCATTGATATGACAATCTTTTGCCCACTCTCTCTCTCTCTCTCTCTCTCTCCTCCACTCACTAACCGTTAATGCACTTTTTCACCATATATGCATTAATCCCCCTTCCCTCCTATAAAAGTATGCAATGACATTGATATCTAACACGGCCATCATCATCGTCGTCGTCATTGCCCGTTGTTCATATTGTCTGTCGTATTAATAACACCATCATCGTTAATGATAATCGTAATTGTAATTGAAAAATCATTTGCACAGTCCATAATTATCTTTGGCAATGAGAACAACAACAACAACGCGAACAGTTGTAATCCTGCTTTGCAAGCCTTTGCCCAACTCTTTGCAAATTTTGTTGGTGTTGCTGTTTGGCATTCATGAGGTAACTCTTTTGGTGTTGACTGCATCTATTAACATGCCTTCCTCCCTGGATTGTTTTGCAAAAAGGGCTGTTGGACAAAAAATTTGGTCTATGCCAGCAACAACAAAAAAAAAAGGGGAGGTTTGTTGTTGCTTGCATACATTGCGTTTTGACATTCACACACACTTTCGATTGCACATTTCAACGCCTGCTGATGATGACACTTACTTTTTTCTATTCTGGGAGAAATCAGTGACAAATGGTAATAAATTTAAATTCGAATTTTGGAAAGGGGGGGGGGGGGGTGGGGGGAGGAAGGAGTGGAGGGATTTAAGGAAGGTTTTTTTAAAAACAATTTTTTTTATCAAAAAAAAAAAAAAAAAAAAAGTAATATTTTTATTTATTAAAAATAATTTTTTGAATTTTTGAATTTTTATTTTTTAAATTTTTTATAATTTTCAGTTTTGATGACAGATGTTCTACAAATATTTTACACCTTCTTGGATCCTTAGGAATCCCCCACAGACAGTTTCTCCGCGGACAAAGATAATCTGGAAATCTCTTATAAATAGTAGATTTTCTGGAGTTTCTCTGCGAAGAGAGAGAGAGAGAGAGAGAGAGAGAGAGAGTGGAAGAAAATACCCCCTGGAGACATTTTAACGAGGTATTATAAAAAAGAAGAACGATTGGAGTTATTCTGAAGAGGGAAAGACACCCTGGGGATATTTTAAATAGAGAAGACTTCCTGAAAGTATTCTGAAGATAAAGACAGTAGACAGTTCCTCCGCTGACAAAGACATTCTGGAAATCTCTCATAAATAGTAGATTTTCTGGAGTTTCTCTGCGAACAGAGAGAGAGAGAGAGAGAGAGAATAGACCCCCTGGAAGCATTCTAATGAGAAAATACCTTTATCAGACATACCAAAGTGAGAAACCCTCCTGGAAGTAGTACAAAAAAGGAAGAACTATTGGATAAATTCTGAAGAGGGAAAGACACCCTGGAAAAAAATTTAAAAAGAAAAATACCTCCGGAAAGTATTCTTAAGGTATAGACAGTTCTTCCGCGGACAAAAAACCTTCTGGAAATCTCTCATAAATAGTAGATTTTCTGGAGTTACTCTGCGAAAAGAGAGAGTGGGAGAAAATACCCCCTGGAGACGTTCTAACGAGAAAAGACCTTTTTGAGTCTTACCTCCAGGAGGTCGGAGGTATTATAAAAAAAGAAGAAAGATTGGAGGTATTCTGAAGAGGAAAAGACACCCTGGAAATATTTTAAAGAGAGAAGGCCTCCTGAAACATTCTGAAATTTTAGATAGATTAAATTTCGTCCGCGGACAAAGACATTCTGGAAATCTCTAATAAATAGTAAATTTTCTGGAGCTCCTCTGCGAACAGAGAGAGAGAGAGAGGGAGAAAAGACCCCCTGGAAGCATTCTAATGAGAGAATACCCCTTTCAGACATACCAAAGTGAGAAAACCTCCGGGAGGTAGTACAAAAAAAAGGAAGAACTGTTGGAGAAATTCTGAAGAGGGAAGGACACCCTTGAAAAAAAAATTTAAAAAAGAAAAATACCTTCGGAAAGTATTCTGAAGTTATAGACAGTAAACAGTTCCTTGGCGGACAAAAACATTCTGGAAATCTTTCATAAATTGTAGATTTTCTGGGGTTTCTCTGCGAAAACAGAGAGAGAGAGAGAAAGAGAGAGGTTGTGACGGGAGAAAAGATCTTTTTGAGACTTACCAAAGTGTGAGGACTTCCTGGAGGTATTACAAGAAAAGAAGAACTGTTGGCGGAATTCTGAAGAGGGAAAGGCACCCTGGAAATTTTTTAAAGATAGAAAACTTTCTGAAAGTATTTTTAAGAGAAGAGACCTACCGGTGGTACTCTAAAGTGAGAAGAACCCTCTAAAAAGAAACATCCCTCGGTGTTTTACCCAATTTAAAAAGCCTACTTGAATTGTTCTAAAGAGAGTAGATCTCCTATAGAAATTCTACAGAGTAGAAAATTCCTGGAGGTAAGACTAAATAAGAGTGAAGAAGTGTTCTCTAGACAGAAGACATCTTATTTTTATTAGACCAAGATCTGATATGAAGATGGAATATATCGGTCCTCTCCTTCTGGTACCTCCCCCATAAAGGGTCAACGTTTTGAATAACAAAAAGGATCATAAAATCTGAAATAAGCATCAGGTTCTCTTCCAATTACACACATCACAATATTTTTATTAACCCAAGGTCTGGTGTGAAGATGGAATATATCGGTCCACTCCTTCTGGTACCTCCCCTCACAGAGGGTCAAAATTTTGAATACTCATGAAATTCATAAAACGCGAAATTAACATCCGATTCCATTTAGACTTGGCACATCACAATATTTCTATCAACACAAGATTTGTTATAAAGATGGTGGAGATCGGACCATTGCTTCTGGTATTTCCCCCATAAAGGGTCAAAATTTTGAAAAACCCAAACGATTATAAAATCCGAAATAAACATCTGGTTCTCTTTAAATTACACATATCACAGTATTTTAATTATCCCAAGGTCTGGTGTGAAGATGGGATATATCGGCCTATTCCTTCTGGTACCTCACCCACAAAGGGTCAAAATTTGAATATCCATTAAGCTCATAAAACGCGAAATTAAATCCGATTCCATTCGGACCATTCCTTCTGGTACCTCCCCACATAGGGTTCATTTTGTTGTTGTTTTTTATTTTAAAGCACACTTTTAGGCTTATCAAACCCAAAAGATAAATATCAATTCCGTTTGGTTGGCCACTGCTCCGCCCCACACCTCACAGTCATTAAATGAAATTTAATATTTTTGTGTTTTTCCACGAAAAAAAAGAACTGTAACCATTTTTTGGTTTTTAATTATGAAATGCGTAATGATAATTTCCAGAAAAAAAGAGAACAACAACAACATCAAATGACAGTGACCATTTTTTCGGTTATTTATGGCCTAACTTCGGAAGTTGGTTTTTTGTGCGTGGCCGCCAGTAAATAATTTATGGTAAACATTTGCTGGTTCAAAGTCTATAATTACGACAGGGGAGGGAGGGAATTTTTAGAAATAATTAGAAGAAATTACAAAAAAAACTCTCGAATTTTGTAAGGTTCGGGGGTACATGTCCCCATGGCCATAAATCTTTAAACGATACACTTGAAATTGCCATTAAAAAAAAAAACAAAGTTGGTGTAAATAATTTTCCAAAAATATTTTTCAATTACAAACAAATATTTACTTGAACACTACACCACGACGGCATTGGCCCAAGCCCAGTAGATGTAAAGGCAATTTCTTGTTTAACTCCATCCCCAAAAGTAGGCAATGTTTTAAGTGGATGGGTGGTTGTTTGGTCGCATGAATTTTCAAAGATATTTTTTACACATTTGAAGCCTTTTACATATTTCTCATGTCTCCTGAAATGTTGGAATTGTACATACACATTGTTGTTGTTGTTGTTGTTTTCTCTTTTTTTCAAACATGAGAAGAAAATTAAAAGTATATCTTGAATTATTGTTAATGATGATTAAAAAAATGTCAACGCCACCTTTATGGGCTTGGATATTTTTTTTCTTTCCTTCGTTCGACTGATGTTTCTTTTTTTT